GCTGCCCCGGCCACTCTGGCCCTGGAGAAGCTGGTTGGCACAGTGGCTGCTCAGAAACTCGTCCTGGAAACGCCAGCAGGTAAAGCGTCCTCCCCTCCAAGCCGTGTCCTCCCCACCCCGGGCCATGTTCCCCCACCAAAAGTGCTCACAGGGCCAGGCTACTTTCTGCTGGCCGTGACTCCTGCTCCCTGGGATGGGCTTCATTCTGTCACTGGCCGGGCCAGGACTAGGGTGCTAAGCATCACTCCTTACCTTGCAGACATGCGAGTGACGGAGAGTGCTGAGGCTGCAGCTGCCCCCTCTCCACACCAGAGCGAGGTGAGCTCAAGATCCCACCACCCTGGTTAGAGATGCCCCCAAGGCTGCTGCCACGGTCTGTGGGGAAGCTGAGCCCCACCGTGGCACTGGTGTGTGCCATGGGGCTGGGCAGGGGGTGCCAAGGCAGAAGGCAGGCTGCAGGGGGGCAACAGGGACGTGGGCTGGGGGAGCACTGCCTCCTTGCCCTGTCACTGAGGCTTGGGCTGCTTGTTGCAGGAGGGGAGCCCGACCGGAGCAGAGCCCGACACGCTGTGGGAGACGCCCTCCTCCTACTCCCGGCCCCGGTCCTCAGCTGCCATGAACCTGAACCGCCGCACATATGACCTGGAAGGTGAGACCAGGCATGGCTGAAACCCGAGGGCAAAACACAGGGTGAGGGACACAGGGCCCCCGGTCTGCTGGGGATGAGTACAGGGTCTCATGAAGCTGGGGATGGGCCGTGGGGCACTTGGGGTCCCTGGTCTGCTGGGGATGGGTGCAGGGTCACATGGGTGCTGACACGGAGCAAGGAGAGGTGCAGGTGCTGTGCCTCGGACATGTTCAGGGTCACGTCAGATGGAGAGGGCAGCCGAAGTGTTAGGACAGTAGCGCTGGTGCTGGGCTCAGGTGCACGATGTGCGTTTCCCCCAGGGCTGGTGGAGCTGCTCAACCGTGCCCAGAGCTGCCGGGCCAACGACCAGCGTGGGCTGCTCTCCAAGGAGGACCTGGTCCTGCCTGACTTCCTCCAGCTCCCCGGGCAGGACAACAGTGCCTGTGAGGGGTCAGATCAGCCCCGTGCCCCTCACCCAGGCTCTGAGGGAAATGGCCATCCTCAGCCCGCAGAGCCCACGCCAGCTCAGCCTCCGGTCGACCACGAGCTCCGATGAGTCCTGCTGCAGGTCCGTACCCAGTGCCTGGTAGCCCCAGGCCATGCAGGGGTTCAACGTGGGGCCGGATTGACTCCTGCCCTGTACCGCCGACACTGCCTGGACTGCAGATTCGTCCACGTCCTGTCCCAAACTGTCGTGTCGTGTCGCTGTGAGTGGTTGAGCAGCTGCCATGCCTCTCGGTGGGGTCACATCCTGATGCACATCAAAGGAGTCCTGTACATAGTTTGAACCCCTGTTGCAAAGCACTTTGCAACGTCCCACGTGTGCCTGGCACTGTCCTGCCCGACGCCACTGCCTGCAGCACAGCTGCTGCCCCAGCAAATCCTGCCTGTGCCGGGCTGGCACAGCCCCACTGACTGTTTGGGCAGGGAAAGCACCCTTCCAACCAAAGGGCATGTGGGATAGAGAAGGTGAGTGGGGTGCCAAGGCAAGCCCCAGCCCCGAACCCCAGCGCTGTGGGCAGGCAGGGGCAAGAGAACACATGTCCGGAGCTGAGGGCTCCACGGGAACAGGGCTGCCCCTGTTGATGTGCAGCTCTGCCCTTCCCAGGGATGGTAAGCGTGGCCCTGCCAGCCTGTGCCCCAGGCAGGTGGTTCCCATCTGCATTGGGCGGGCATGGTGCGGCC